TCTCAGAAGACAGTCACTTCATACCCGATTTCAGCCTACTAAACCTATCTGGACTGCCTCTAATGTCAATACATTTATCTTTAGAAAAAGGGGCAAAGGGATGTTCAGCGTATTCCAGCTTGTATCCAGTGCCTTGTACTGTTATAGCAAACTACTTTTACATTCTATTCCCTTTGAAATAAAGACCAACATTCAATTTGCTTTCCCATTTACCCATTGAACTTGGAGGCTAATTTTTTCTGTGTGTGATTTATGCATGAGGACTCCAAAATTCTACTTTTCTGTAGCTTTCTGCAGTTGTTCTCCTTTTAAATAATTACAACTCTTCTATTCTTCCTGCCAAAGTGCATTTTGTCACAATTTCCTACATTAGATTCCATTCACCAAGTTTTTGCACACACACTTAGCCTGTGCACATCCCTCTGCAGATTCTTTGCAAAAGCCTCATATTTTATTCATTCACGGGATGAGGGCATCACTGGCTAGGCCAGCATTTATTGTCCATCCCTAATTGTACAGAAGGCAGTCCTGAGTCAACCACATTGCTGTGGGTCTGGAGTCACATGTATACCAGGCTGGGTAAGGATGGTACTTTCCTTCCCTAAAGGATATTAGTGTGAATCCAATGTTTTTTTTCTGATAATTGGCAATTGATTCATGGTCAACATTATACTCCTAATTCCAGATATTTTTTGAATTCAAATTCCACCAGCTGCCACAGCAGGATTTGAACCCAGGTCCCCAGAACATACTTGGCTTCTTATCTATTCTTCTGTCATTCACAAACTTGACTATAGTACATTCACTTTCCTCAACCAAATCAAGGATATGTATTGTAAAAATAAATTAGCCTGGAGTCCCCAGGAATTGAAGATTAATCAGGTTAGTCTCCAGAACACCATTGCAAACAAACCTGAAAGAAATCATAAAGGCTAATTTTTAAAAATGTGCTTCTTCAGCTTCTTTTTGTTCTTTTTTTATCTAGAGAAATATTGAAGATATGGAATAATAGGTTATTTGACTATCTAACATCAATCAATTGGATAAAGAGAATTCTTTCCACCTTCCTATTGGTATTGAGGGTGTGAGCCATGTGGACAGGGGTGTTGGGTGACCAATGGCAGAAGCTTGAGGAATTCACAACTATATTTTCACCCACAAGGCCATTAGAGATCCTAAGTGGCAATACTGGACCAAGTTAGAGGCCCAAACTAACCACACGAACACCGCCACCTGTAGCAAGGCTTACACGACATAACAGGATACATGATGAAGCGGACACCAATACATCCCTCCCTCCTGTCCTCAATGCTTCTTATAATCGGTTCAAGAAGAATGTCAGTGGCTCGGTGTCACCCGCTCCGACAGCCCCGGATGCACCTGTTCCCTCAGTCACTGCTGTAGAAGTCAGTTCAGGTTTCTTGAGCGTAAACCTGAGGAAATGATGAGTCTGGATACAGGAAGGAGATAGAGTGCTTGGTGTCATGGTGCAATGATTACAATCTCTCTCCCAATGAAAACAAAAAGAATTCATCGACCTCAGGAAGAAAGGATGAGGTTATGCCCCTATATACATCAATGGCGCTAAGATGGAGACAGTCAAAAGCATCAGGTTCCTAAGAGTGACAATAACAAACAATCTTTCCTGAACCTCACCCATAGATGCAATAGTCAAGAAGGCACAACAATGCCTCTTCTTCCTCAGGATGCTCAGGAAATTCAACATATCCATAAGGACCCTCACCAACTTTTACAGGTGCACCATGGAAAGCATTCTATCTGGGTGCATCACGGCTTGGTATAGCAACTGCTCTGCCCAAGACGTAAGAAACTACAGAAAGTTCTGTACACAGCCCAGACCCATCATGGAAGCCAACCTTCCATCCATGGACTCCATCTACACCTCCTGTTGCTGTGGAAAGACTATCAACATCATCAAAAGCCCCTCCCACCCCAGGAACATTCTCTTCCAATGTCTTCCATAGGCAGAAGATACAGAAGCTTTAACTCACATACCAATAGGTTCCAGAACAGCTTCTTCCCTGCTGTTATTAGATGACTGAATGGACTTCTCTAATTTCAAATCTAATGTTGATCTTGCTTTTGTGCACCTCCTGTACAGCCACAACCTTGTATGCTTTGTTTTGTCTAAACACCCTATGGTCTGTATGCCCTTGTATGTTATGATCTGCGTGTACTGCTCACAAAACAAACTTTTCATTGTACTCAGGCATGTGACAACAATAAATCAAATCAAATCTTCACCCGGAGGTTGTTAATCTATGGAATTCCTTGTCCAGTGAAGTAGTTGATGCTGCTTCAGTAAATGTTTTTAAAGATAAGGTAGATTTTTTTTGAACAATAAAGGAATTAAGGGATACGGTGAGAACGCAGGTAAGTGCATCTGAGTCCATGAAAAGATCAGCCATGATCTTATTGAATGGCGGAGCAGGCTCGAAGGGCCGGATGGCCTATTCCTGCTCCTAGTTCTGATGTTCTAAATCAAACCAGAGGTGATAAACTCAAACTAAGTTACAGTTCCTGTACAGGTTGCAGATCCCTCCTTCGTCAGGTTTTTCTGTTCCTTTAAGGTCATTCATTGTTTTTTTCAGATGCTACAGTGGTATTAATGGTGGAACCTCTAAATTCCTTTTCTTGGCACTGGGAATCATGCATAGCCAATGACATCTGACCCAGGGGAGCATTAAAGCAGCAAGGAAAAGTCCTGTCCTACTAGTACCAAATCCCAGAAACTTGAATTCCAGCCAGCCCTCTGAACCTTAGGAGGCTTCACAATCACCTGTACAACCAATACCAAACAGAATGAGCATATTCAATAGAATATTGAACTACATGACTGAAACTACACAGCGGTCTTGTTAGCCTGCATAAGTTTTGTTTCAAATACGAAACTCAAACAAGGGTTACCAGACTCAAAACATTATCTCTGTTTCTCTCTCTACAAATGCTGCAAGATCAGCTGGGTTTGTCCAGGAAATTCTGTTTTTGTTTCAAATCTTCATCATCTGCAGTTTTTTTTTTGTTTTATTTTACTCAAACAGCAATAGTTCCTTCCCAAGCAGTTTCAGTGATCACAAAGTGACAGAAGTTATAAAAATCAAGATTGACTTTTTATTGGGTACATTTCACTCTTCAACTCTTTAGTATTTAGTTCTAATTTCATCTAATTCATGTCATTGAGTATTCAACCTTCATTTCATCACATAACTAATCATTCAAACTTCCTCCCCACTGATTGTGAATTCAGTTGCTCTTCATTACTAATATAATTGATCTCTTCCCTCCTGTAATGGTAGATTCAGAAAATCTGAAGCTTGCAGATTCAGTCCTTCCCTTGCCTTTCAAGTGTTGATCTTTATTGGAATGATAAAGTTCTCAACCTTTCCCTCACCGATGGACGTTTCAAACCTCTCTCTAATGATAAGGCACCGTGTGCATTGTCTAATGATCTAGAAAGTTATGCATTTGCATGCACCTTTCCTGACTTCAGGTTAGCCCAATTACAGCCAAAGAAGTAAATTGGAAGTGCCGGCACTGCTGTAAAGTACAGCAACCTGACAGCCAATTTATGCACAGCAAGCTTCCACAGATAATAACGTGATCATGACAAGATCGTTTGCTTTATTGCTATTTACTGAAGGATAGATATTGGCCACTACATTTTTTCCTCTGAAGTGCGGCGGGGCATTTTATGTCCAACTGTTAGGACAAGGGGTGTGGGATTGTTGATAGTTCTTGACGGAGTGTCAGTACCTTGGACAGCGCAATGTTCCATGAGTACTGGATTGGGCAGAAGTGCCAAATGAGACGGGAACAACAGTTATCTAGGATCGCAAGACGAATTCGGCATTTGCTGATTGGAAACGCCAGAAACTAAAATTGAGATAAAAATCAGTGCAAGCTAGGCGCAAAGGGCTAAGCAGTTTCCGGCGGTTGAATGCGGTAATTTCCACTCCAGAATCAGCATGCACACCAACTATATGGACACCGAGGTGAGGACATGTGTTTCTTTACTGGGACCCATTCTGCTCCCTCACCACGTTTTGTATTCTCGAAAAAAATCACACATCAACCGCATCTCCATGTCATCAAGCGAGCGGATGACTGTCAACTCCGAGGCCGCTTGAATTGCTAATAGAAGGAATGAAAAAGGGTTGAAGAAGTGAATGAAAAACGAAGGAATAAACCGATGGGGGAGGGGCGGGTTACCCCAGAGGATGAGGAAAGAAAGATTGGGGACTGGGAATTATTGAAGGGAGAATGCAACACACTGAGTCTATAAGACAGCAAAGTGACGGTAGGGAAATCTGGAAGCGGTGGGTTAGAGATTTGAGTGAAAAAGGAGGAAAGAGCATCTCAGGTTTCAGGGAGATGAGTTCGGGACGGCGTATTGGATATACACGTAATATCCCGGTAGCAGTGATTTAAAGCTACCAAGGTTCTTCATTCGAAAACCCACTGGCCTTCTCATTACCAGACGACTTTTAAAACCTCTCAAAGGTGAAATGAGAGCAAAATATGTAAACAACGTGATGATGAGACTCAGACAGAAGAGGAAACGCAGATTCCGGAATCTTTACTCTGTCCAAATACAGCGAATGAAGGGAAGATGAGGGTCTGCTCTAAAAGGAGCCACCACCTCGACTCAATGTTCAGACCCTTAACAGCGCAGAGAAAACACCGCATTGCTCTCATCATCTTCAATTTTGTTAACTGCAATTTAGAAAAAAAAACCCTCTCTGTTCTTTGCTCTGTCTTTCAGGGAGACAACACTGTACAATTAGCCAGGTGGATATCCCTGATGCACAGGCTGATGTCTGAGGAGACCAAACATCCTTTTAATGTAATATTTGCAACAACATAAAAGGTTCAGATGTGGTTTTCCTGTTATAAATATGCACGAAGAATGGAAAGATCTGCACGCAATAGGCATCGTTTATATCTCAGGCTTGACTCTAATTGTAAAGTATTCCTCTCACCTTGTTCTCGCGGATCCTTCTTATCGCCCTGACATCAGACACCGCAATGGGGTCAGTCCGTTCAAGCTCCAACTCATACTCAGAACCGCTCCTCCTCTTACAGCACCAAGGCTTCCGTTCCCGTCGTAATCCCCATCGCTCAACCCACACCGACAGCTGCCTGAGGGGAGGCGGAGGGGGTGTATCAGTCAGATTCGAGAGGAATGGGATTCCGTCTGTGCTCCGCGACTGAGCCTAGAAGGAATGTGAAACAGCTTTGCTGGGATAATTGCTTTACCGAGAAGTTAACGAACATTGCTCACACACACACACACACACATAACACACAAAAACTGACTGTACGAAGCACAGTTGCTCGTTAAACAATCCACAAAGATGTCAGCTGTAAATATGAAGCTCTTCATCAAGGTTCAGCCACATTCTACTCCCAGGCTGGCTGCTCTGAAGCTAAAGGCAACGGGAAAAAAAATGTACTTTGCTTTCTGTTAACAGGTTCGAAAGCACCATTGAATAAATCTTCCTCACAGAGGGACAAATGATGTACTGACCGTACACTGGAGCTCATATCAGAGAATGTGCTTCTCTCTCCCACCCCCTAGACCCTTAGAGAAAAGGTCTGCCTGCCCTCAGCACAGCCCCTCCGACACTTTCCGGGTTGTTAAGTGAGGTGAGTAAAGACTGCAGCGTCTCCTTGCTGCTGAGCCGTTTCCCGGCCAGTGCCCTGTGTACAGGACATGAGGGGAATTGCTGTACTGCTCCAGACCACCCAGCGCTACGCAGCCTGCAGCCGTTGTGAGCCCCTGGGGGATCTAGCTGGTAGGGGACATCATGCCACTGTACATGATGTTGTCTGTATACAAGCTGCAGCCACTCTCACACAACTCAGAGGTGGACAGGGTCGGATCAAAGTTCGGCCGTGCCTTTCTGATCCACGTATCCACCCCCTCAGCGGTCCCAGGGAGATGAAATACCCCTCCTCCGTTGAGATTGCACCGGGTGAGGTGTGAGGAAGGCAATAATCTTGACTGAAATCGTTTCTCTGCCTCCCCCAGTTGCCCTGCCGCTTTATAAAGACGAGCTGGAATACAGACGTATGATACAGATCTAATCAATAGTTTTGTAACTGGTACTACCTCCAGAGAATCGGCGCCTTGTATAAATCAATTCACCTATTGCCTGCTTCCGCCTCTGTCATCTTTTCACGCAAGAACTTTGTATACATATCTGTGAAATATTCATTTAAATGCACTTTCTAGCCACATTAACGCTTCAAAGTCTGTCTCATCTGGATCTCTCCCCGATAACGCACGTGTATCTGACATTATTCTGCCTTAATCCATTCTTCCTGCCTGGTAAATAAAAGCAGACATTTATTTCGAGATGCCAGTCAGCGATGAACGTGTGTGTATGTACATACGGATAAATGGATGGACGGATAGAGATGTTACATAAAAGATTAAGATGGACATGACCGTTCCTCTTTTCTCCACAGATGTTGCCTGATTATTTCAAGCGTTTTCTCCTTTTTTCACATTTCCAACATCTGCAGCATGTGCGTATTAAAAACAAAACTGTTTCTTTTTCTACATTTGTAGAGCTGCTTCAGTGGTCCCTTAAGGGGTTAACTTGCTCACCGCCAATTCCTAACAGGTGAATCCAGCATGGTGCACACTCCATCCATCTCGAGCTTTAAAATGATACAGCATTGCACCCCATTTTGTTAACTTAATGTGGCTTCTATCTGACTACCTGTGCTGGAGATGCTCTTGTAAGGGCACTGGTTAAACTGGCAATGCCCAGAATGATAACAGAACACAAAGTACAGTGGTTACTAATGCCCAGTTTCCACCCGGCTGCCCAAGTCAAAATCAGACTTCATGCGTGCACCAGATGGCATTAATCTAAAACATTCTATTCTGTCATCATTAATTTGTCATCGTTATTGCTATCCTGCTGATAAAAAGCTACACAAAAGCCAATCTTCTGACCACTTGTAACTAGTATTCTGAGTATTGTAGTTGAAAGTCATTCTCATGGTAATCTGAAAAATGTAATGAGGAACAGCTGATGAGTACACATTTGGCCTACCTCTGGTAAAACCAACATACTGAGTCCTAGTCTCATGCCTGACTGATAAACTACTGTCTTGACTTGCTTCTGAGAACAGCATTACCATTCACTGATGGTGAATGGATCAGGAGGGCTCGAAAGGCAGATAAGCCAGAAGAGGAAAGGCATCTTGAAGATTGCAAAAGGGAGGTAGAGCTGTGACATAAGATAATTTGAAATTAAGACATAAACAACAATAGCATGGCACCAAATATAATGTTATTTTAACTTCTTTGAATGCATCCATCCTGACTTATAACTCATCATTCTTTTCTCTTCCAACAGCATCTTCTCAAGATGATGCAATGGCAGCTGGTGGTAACAAAGATTTAAATATTTCATTGCAGGTCACACTACATACACCACCTGGTGCCAAAATCATCACACGTCCAACTATCCAGGAAGAAAAGTGAAGAATGATTTGCATTTATCATGCACCTTTCATGACCATCACATGTCTCCAAATGCTACACAGCCAACAGAGTACTTTGGAAACATTAGTGTTGTAATGTAGGAAACGTGTTGGGTAACTTGTGTACAATGAGCTCCTATAAACAACAATGTGATAACAGCCAGGTAACGTGTTTTTTGTTGTATTGAATGATCGATATGTATTGGTTAGGGTGCCAGTGATAACTCTGCTGCTCCTCTTTGGAAAATGTACCATGGACATTTTATCTCAACCATGGATGCGAGATGGGATTTAATGTCTCAACTGCAAAACAGCACCTCTGACAGTGCAGCACTCCCTTAGTCCTACACTGAAGTGTTAGTTTTGAGTTTTGTGCTCAAATCTTCAATAGGGATATGACTCCAAGGGCTGACTCAGAAGCAGGAGTGCTCCCAATTGAACTAACTGAAAGTGGCATAGATTCTTTCAAAAAGAAAGCAAATAGGTTGCATATATAATTGTATGATTTAGGAGCCAAAGCAGGCCATTCAGCCCTTCAAGCCCACTTCACCACTTAGTCGGATCATGATTGATCTGTTTGTGTTCCAAATTCCACATTCCCATTTATCCCTGATAACCTTTAAGTCTCTCACCTAGCAGGAATCTATTTACCTCTGCCATAAACGTATTCAATGACTAACCTCCAGTGGCTTCTCAGCTAGAAGGTCCAAAGTGACACAACCCACTGAGAGAACCCTCTGTCCTGAAAGGGTGACCCCTAATTTCAAAACAGTGACCCTAGTTCTGGATTCACCCACAAGAGTAAACATCCTTCCCATAGCTACCTTGTCATGAAATTCAATATTGTATAAACTTAAATCAAATATCTCCTCATCTCTTCTAAACTCCAGTGAGAACAAGTCCAATCTTTTCTCAGAGGTCAACCCACTCGCTCTAGCTATCAATTTAGTAGAGCTCCTCTGAACTGCCTCAAACACATTTATATCCTCCCTTAAACAAGGACACCAATGCTTTGCATAACTACAGCGTAACATCCTTACTTTTATATTCAATTCCTCTTTCATTTAAGGCTAGAACCCCAAAACCTTCCTGATTGTGTGCTATACTTGCATATTAACATTTTGCGACTTGTACTAGAACACCTAAATTGGCACTTTGAAATTTTTCAGTTGTTTTCCATTCAAGTAATACTCTGCTTTTTTATTCTTCCTGTCAATGTGAACAGCTTCGCAATTTCCTGCATTATATTGCATTTGTCAGGCTTTTACTCACTCGTCTAGCTTATCTATATTAGTCTGCATCCTTATATATCCTCTTTACAGCACAGTTCCTATGTATCTTTCTGTCACCTGCAAATATAAATTATAAAAAGCTGAACACCCAGCACAGACCCCTGTCTGACCACATTTGTAAGATGCTGCCAAACTGAGAAAGATATTTATGCATACTTTATAATTTCTGCCAGACAGTCAATTTTCTATCTATGCAATGACCATACAATGATACTATTTGTGTGATACATGGAACCTGATCAATGTCTTCTGGAAAACCAAATACAGTATATCAATTGGCTACCTGATATTCTCAGCGAATGTTGCTTCATTCTAACTAATTGATTAAGCACTATTTCCCTTTCACAAAACATGCTGAATCTTCCTGACTACCTTGAGATTTTTTTTTCAAATGTCCAGTTATTACCTCCTCAATGGTCAATTCTAACAGCTTCCCAAAGATGATAGCAAACTAATTGGCCTACAGTTCTCTGTTTACTGCCTCTCTCCCCTCTTGAATACAAGGGTTATATTTGCTACTGTCCAGTTTGATGGACGTTTTCCAGAATCTAAAGGAATTTTGGAAAACTAACACCAATGCATCAACTACTTAATTAGCCAGCTCTTTTAAGACACTAGAATAAAATCCATCAGGACCCAAAAAATGATCAATTTGCAGGTCCATCATTTTTCTCACTACCACTTACCAAGCTGATTATATTTTCACCAAGTTCGTTCTCTGGTTCTCTTATTTGCCTCACTGGCACTCACACCCTCCTGACCCCAAAATCAGACGATCGTCTCGTAAAGATTGCAACTGCCTCTTGGAATAAAGTGGACGGGTAACTTCCTCCATCCCTGAAGTGTTGCAGTGCCTGCAGCTTGGTCTCCAAGTAAGTAACACTGAGCTGAAGTTCCTGAAGGTGAAAGCATTTGCTACAGTTCTATTTGCCTTGGATCACACCAACATCCAGAGGTTTCCACATTTTGGAATTGTAGCTGGGACAATAACATCAACAGTAGCCTGAAATTCTCATCCAGTACCTCATGCAAATATCACTTGCCACCTGGAGTGTAGGTTTGCAAAATTAACTCTAATGAGTCAAAGAAACAACCTGTAAGTGAAACACAAATTAAATGAGTTGATATCAGAGAAGCTTCAAGTCATGAAACATCAAGTTGTTGAACAGGTGTGCAACTTTATCTATTTCTAGTAGATGAGCAAAGAATTAGCATCCTAATAGTTCAACTTTAAAGTTGAAACCAGAAAGATAATTAATGAGCGAGGAAATTATAGGACTTATTCTTATACTGCAAAGCTCTGCTAAATATTTTGCAAAGGTTACCAATGAATGCACAACTGTCCCAACAGTAGAAATCAACAACCATAGTACACAATGGTGCATGATGCAACTTCACAGCTATTTACACAGATCAAAAGGGGGAAAGTGAAATGAAATGGGGAAACAAGCCACATCATGAATGTTGTGACTGGGGCACTCGTGACCGTTAGTCATATTTTCCAATTAACACTTGCCTTTAATAACTCTGTACAACCAGTGGTGGTTAATAAGCTGAAAGACATACTATTAAGACTCAGTTGTACACTGCATACTGAAGCCACACCTCTGACCAATGTATTCATTTCCAGTCCTTGATGTGCAAAGAAAAGCATTAAACTATGGTAATTGTAGATCACTAAGGCTGATCCTCAGTAGTAAAGGGCTGAGTTATGAAAAAAAGTTTGGAAAACGCAGATTGTTCAGCTTGAAAAAGAAGTAAGCGAGAAAGGTTATTACATAAGACACAGTGGAATAGAAGAATTCATCTGAACCTGTTGAAAGCTAATATCA